TGTTCTGTGCTTTTCTTTAATTATTCTGAATCGTCATCTGGAATTGCATCTCCCTCTGCTCCCATTTCTATTGTGAACTTAGCTATGTTTTTATTAATTAGGAGAATCATATGTCAGGAATCAGAATTTCAACTGCATCACAGTCACAACAAAGCAAAGAGGTTGGCTGTTTTTGACCTGTCACTAAATGCATTTATTCATTTGTTTCTTTGCTTCTACACAGTTTTGTCAAGTGGTTTCTATAGGGATACTCTTCAAATGTTCTTTCCCATATACACCTTTCATTTCTTTTTACCATATTCATATCCATAGTGCCAGCATTTAATTAGTTTGGGGCTATTCTCATTGTTTGCAGCCATGCACTCTTACAGCTCCTGTTTATTTGCTCTGATGCCATATGCTCTTTTTAAACAGAGGTTACAGTATTAGCACGAGCCAATGTTTGTATTTGGTTTTGTGCAGTTTTTACCACTGTACAACCATTAGGGGTGGGCAACTCCCCACCCCCACAAATTCTCAAATCTGGAACAGAGTTCTATATAGGAGCCTACTATTTGTAAGCATTTCTGAAGTGCCTCTCACAGCTTTATCTATTCACTGCCCAAAGGTTACAAAACCAATTGATAACCCACCAGCAGGGCAGTCAATTCTCCAACCTGCTCTAGGATGCAGCAATTCCTGGCTTCCCGTTCTACAACAATGGCAGCAAAGAGACTTGCCGATAGACTTGCCAATAGATCCCGCAGCCTGTACTCACCTGTACTTAAAAGCATACTCAGAAGCTAAGAGATGCTGACCACCGTCCTAGGCTACAGCTAGTCTTAGCAATTTTTGTGTAAACCAGGAAAACAATTTTTAGGCCATTCCTACCCCATAAACATCGTGGAAAGGAATCAGTCAATCATATCAATTTGGACAGGGCAGGGTTAGTGAGATGGTTTTTTGGTGCAACTTTTAAACTTAAAACTAACTCACTGCATATAAAAGGGAGTGGGAACAATCTCCTATCCTTCCAGCCTTTTGCTGCAGGTAGGGTGACTAGCTGCTTATGCTGGAGGCTGTACTTAGCTGCCAATATTAAAAAAAAAAAATTAAAATCCAAGGAGCAATTCTCCAGAAAAGGGTCTTAGGGCTTCTGGATGCTTTTCAGTATGTTCCGAGTATTTTTTGCACTTGTAAAACAATGCCTTATGAACATCAGCTAATTAACTAACATCCGCTAACACTTCTGTGAGGTTCTATGTGTAAGTATTATCCCTATGCTACGGATGGGAAACAAAGGCAGAAAAGTTAAGTATTTTGACTGAGGCTGTAGAACTAGTCAGGAATAGATGAAGGTATCCTTTTCTTTCAGATCTGTATTTAGACCACTACCTCTGCAGCTACTAAGATGTTCAGCTCTTATGGACAAAAGCCACAATGGCTACTCAGCAGCAGTCCCAACCAATGCAGTTGCAGTGCTGGATTAGTTTGCCCTTAGTTACGCATTACTCTCACTTGGAGCATACTGTAAACAGCCACAATGTGTGGTGTTTGATCTTAAAACAATCTACTACTGTATTTGTACCATTCTAACTAAAAACAGGATGACTGGCTTCAGGGTGAGTATCTACATCTGAATATTTGTATTGGGAATCACGGAAAGAACTGAAGATGGAATGTGTGTGATTAAAGCTAGTTTGCTGGAAACTCATGAATCAGCTTTCCAAGCTGAGAAGGATATATAGACTTGAGGTTTTCTGACACAGAATGCAAACGACCATTGTAAACAGGTGAAATTCACCCATCAGCAGAGGGGCTACAGAAGTTCCCCAGTGGAGAACCAGAAGAGCTCCTGCAGAGTGGCCATGCAGGGATCTTTGCATGTGGTGCAGCTGGGCCCTGCGCTAGCTCTGCATCAGCAAATATGGATGGCCCATTGTGTCCAGAATTACATGAATCCAATAGCCACAAACCACTGCATAGGAGATGGGTCAGGGTCACAGCCACTGTTCCAGCCCAGAAACTGATATGAGGTTGTGGAGTGGCTCCAGAGTTGTTCTGGGAGGTTGTGAGGGGAATTCTGTTCACCCCTACCTCCATGTACGCCCTTGCTCAAAGACCATTTTCTCAGGCTTTGTGCAACAGACAGTGGGTGAGGAGGGAGCAATGAATGTCACCCATTGTAACTATGTAATCATTGCCACCTCGTGGGGCCACTGAGGTCACCCATCTTTGTTCTGGTTCAGTGCTTCATAGCATGGTAGGTGCACCGTGACACAGGGGCATGTGCTGAAGGTGCCTCAGCTGCAAGGCCCTGTGGGCTCTAGCACCTAGTGGGTCCCAAAGAGTATTTCACCCAGAGCCTCCAAATACCACACTTCTGCAGGACACCCAGCTACCAGCTCCTCCCCAGCCATACTCCCAACAGTTTGGAGGCTTGCCCTTTCTGCAGCTCGCCTCTGCCCAGCCAGAGCAGGAGAGAGAGAGAGCGCCGCAGATTTGCCATTCAGCAGATTCATTCCATTGGCTTCTGCTGACCTGTGACTGCTCAGCAGCCGATTCAGCACATGGGAGTATTAAAGTATTTGGCTTTTGCCAACAGAGTTAGATTTAACTTGCAAGTGATAATTTGCCTGTCGGTATTTTGTCAGCTTCCAGCAATAGCAGGTCGAAACAAAAGCCTGAAGCAGAAAAGGTCTCTGCTCCAGCACACCGAGGTGGTCTGGGAGGAGGCGAAGAGATCTGCATTCACACAGATCCAGTGACTCCAGCATCCCCAACCTGGAGGGGCTGCAATTCTAGCTCCCAGACTGGAATAATGGCCACAGGGGGCAGAAGGGGGTACCAGGAGCTCTACACCCTGCTGTGCATTGTCAGGGGTGAATTTCATCTTTCTAAGTGCTCTGGACTCCACCTGAGTTGAGTCTGAATGTATTTCACATCAGGGATTTAGGAAGTTTGACTTGTTTTTGTAATTGTATCATGATCAATGGAATTGGAATCCAGGGACACCATGTTATTGAAGGGCAGGGTTGCCAACTTTCTAATCGCACAAAACCGAACACTCTAGCCCCTCCTCTTCCCCAAGGCCAAGCCCCCTGCCCCGCGGCCCTGCCCCCCACTCACTACATTCCCCTCTCCCTCGGTGCCTCGCTCTCCCACACCTTCACTGGGCTGGGGCAGAGGGCTGGGGTGTGGGCTGGGGCTTTGGGCTGGGGCAGAAGGGTTGGGGTTTAGGAGGGGGTGAGGGCTCCGGGCTGGGGCCAGGGATGAGGGGTTTGGGGTGCAGGAAGAGGTTCCAGGCTGAGGCAGAGGGCTTAGGGTGTGGGAGGGGGCTCTGGGCCGGGGCCAGGGATGAGGGGTTTGCGGTGTAGGAGGGGGCTCCAGGTTTGCGGGGGCTTAGGGCTGGGGCAGAGGGTTGGGGATCAGGGTTGGGGCACGGGCTTACCTCTGGCAGCTCCTGGTCAGCGGCACAGTGGGGGTGGGGGGCAAAGGCAGGCTTCCTGCCTGTCCTGATTCCGCACTGCATCCTGGAAGTGGCCAGCAGGTCCGGCTCCTAGCCGGAGGTGTGGCAGGCAGCTCTGCAAGCTGCTCTCGCCCGCAGGCATTGCCCCCGCAGCTCCCATTGGACGCGGTTCCTGGCCAATAGGAGTGCAGAGCCAATGCTCAGGGTGGGGGCAGTGCGCAGAGCCCCCTGCCTAGGAGTCGGACCTGCTGGCCGCTTCCGGGGCGCAGCACAGTGCCCAGAGAGGTAGGGACTAGCCTGCCTTAGCTCCACAGCACCGCCAACTGGATTTTTAAATGGCCCCGTCGGTAGTGCTGACCGGAGCCGCCAGGGTCCCTTTTCGACCAGGTGTTCCCGTCAAAAACCGGACAATTGGTCACCCTATTGAAGGACACTACGAAAACAGGAAAGGTGGGGAGTTAGGCTGGAAGCAATGCAGCCACATGGACAAAGCAATGCACAGGATTTAATAAAGTTCCACTTGTTCAACTTAACCTGCATTCAGCTTCACACTTTGCTAATGAAACACTGACCAGTTAACATTAATGATTCATTTGTCCATTTGTCTAAATTGCTGGCTGAATTTTTCAAGTGGAATGCAGCAATTGATTCACCTGCACTAGCTACCCTCAGCTCAGCAGAGACAGGAGTAGTCACTTCAAAATGTGAACACTGATTTTGTCTACTCTGCAAGGCTAAAATACGACTGTACTCTAATCTCCTACATAGTTTATCTGGCAGAGTGTAGTCACAGTCACACATACAAGGCCCTTCATTTTTTGTTTAATATTTCTCAGAAAGGTATTGGTGTTTATTATGAAAAATTTAAAGTGGGTGAAAATTGGCACAAAATATTAACTTCTGGGTAAATATTGGAGGATCGGAGGAGAGAGAAAAGTAAGAGTATTGAAAGTAAAAGCAGTTTAATGCCCTGGTTTACTTCATGAATAGTACATTAACAGTACAAACACATATGCGCGCGTATCTTCTACTATATTAACTTATTTGACAGCCTCATATTTACACGTGGACTAAAGTATGAACATAAACATATCTACCTAATGTAATGCACTGGGTTTTCTTAACATAATCAGTATTTTCATGTACTTGAGTATTCCAAAATTCAGGTGAAAATTAGTAACAGAACAGGAATTTTTTTGGTAGAAATCAGTAAAACCTGAAAAGGAAGGGCCTTGCACACATAACACTGCAATTTTTCCAACTGTGTCTTGTTTCTTTTACTAAGAGTTACACATTTATCTTCTCCAACTCTAACATATTCCTGTGAAAGCTTTACTATTTATATAAGCTATATTTATACATCTTCTGGCAAAATCCTTAGGGCTTTATTGTGACTTACCTTTGAATAGATGCATGGCGGGGGAAAAGGGTGTAAAAAATTCTTCTTGTTTTCTGTATTTTATTTCTTTTCAGAACATATCAAATTAACACAAAAGCAAAAGATGAATGGTAGCTAACCCAATTGGTTCTTAAACACTGATAGGACACGTACCTTTTCTCCTTTAAGGCCGTCCTCTCCCTTCAAACCTGGCAACCCCTGAAGTCCTCTTTCACCCTAAAAAGACATTTTTATTCAATATTTTCTTTCCATTAAAATATCATTCCTATAAATGATGGATATTTAGAAAACCAAAAAGTGCCCATAGGAAAGTTGCTAGTCTATTTGGAAGGAAGCTAGAGTGTGAAAAGTTCTCATCTGATTTTTCCCATGTATCTGTGATTGATTAATATATTAGCAGACCTTTTATAGGACAGTAGAGGATTACCTGAACTCTTGGAATAGTTCTCTATTTATTCTGCATTTCCTCAATGTGATAATAGTAGGCAGATTCCAGGCTGACATTTTGTCTTCACCTGATCTAAATTATTCATTTCCAAAATGGACATTGGAAGGTCACCAGTTTCAATTTCACACCAAGGTAATGGGCAGTAGGGAAGAGGACAGTTGGATATTTTCCTGTGGAAATACTTAAGTAATATACTGCTGTAAGCTGCTATTCGAGGTGCCACACATCATGCCTCAACATGAGGTGCTGACTGCACTCATCTCCTACTGGAATCATTAGAGCCCCATCCTGCAAGATGCTGAGCACCCTCAATTTCCATTGAGTTCAATGGGTGCTAAGTGTCTCACGGAAACTATGTAGTACCTTGCAGTATTCTAATAGTACCTTGCAGTATTAGGCCTCAAGTTTCCTTTTAACCCTCAGGGTTCTAATAAATGTCAACTCCCAAACCCCAACTAACCCTCCTATCCCATGGTGTATTTTCCCCCCAGTACAATATGCAGGTTCTGTGTTCCATATAAGGCTTGAGCCTTTGCTCATTGAAGTCTATAACAAAGTTCCCATTGATTTTAAGTGGTGCAGGATAAGGCTATCAAGTGCAATGAATTAGCCAGCTAACCTAAGATTCTGGAACAAAATCCAGAGGAAAATGAAGCTCAGATTTATGTTTATTTGTGACCTTTTTCTCCAAGGAATCTGGACAATGGTGTGTGTTAATCGTATCCACTGTCAGAGTCTAACCATGATAGCACTGTGCTAACTGTAAAGACCCGTGAACTAGATGCAGTAAGAATCAAATGTACGCACAGGATTTCATTTTTTCCTTTGTGATTAATACTGATTTCTCAGGTGATTAAATAGTTATGGCAAAATGCTTTTTACGCATTCAGGCCCCAACCCTGAAAACACTTGCACATGGGCTTTCCTGCACTACTGCAAATGGTACATTGATTTCAATGTGATTGATCATAGTAGCATAGTTGAGCGTGTGTGAAAGTATTAGCACGATAGGGGCCTAACTGCACACAGAAAAAATGGTTTCAGAACATAAGTAAAGCTGCAACAAGATTGCTAAAGGAGGAAATACGACTCTTTATACTACAGAGAACTATAAAAGAAAAACATATCCAAACATGCAGAGTGTTTAAAGTGTTGCTCCCGCAGAAATAAAATTCTTAATTACTTTATATAATTGAAGCATTTTCCACAGAACATTTTGTCATGGCTTTTGTTTAAAAAATGTGTTCTGCTTACAGTTAAAATGCTAAGAGCAAGAAAGCATAGTGCAAAGCTGAAAAGGTCAGCTTCTTCTGCTGGTACAGCTTTTCTAATGAGAAATCATTTCTCCGAAATATGAATTGACCTTGTGCAATAATAACTCGATTTCTTTGAGCATGGAGTATGAACAGAGATTTGTGGATAGATGAAGCATTTTGCTTGCCTGTCGGGCTGAATAATTAACTCCCTCACCACTGGATTATTTGTATTGACTATTATAAAAATGTGACCCTCCCCGAGGAGTGTTTACAGAGGGCAGGAACAGACAAAGTTTTTAGCATTTGTGTGGGAGATTTCTGGAAGGAGACAGGGGTGCATAAGGTAGATGATATCCCCACCCAGATGGGAGGAAGTAGGGAAAATACAGCAAGAGGGTGGGGAGTGGGAAAATAGAAAAGTCATGTAGGTAGTGTAGCTGGAAGATGCATCACACTAGAGCATTGCAGAGGGTACATGGGTCACAGCAGCTGAGAAGAGAGTTGGGGGACTCTTGACTCTGGGAGAGTGGATAGAATGTGGCAGCTAGGAGAGAAGTCAGAGACCTGGGAGCACGGGAGAAAGCTGACAGAATGACACAGGTGAGAAGCCATTGGGGAACACCTGAGCATGGAAGAAGATCACACCAAACAACAGCAGATGAAAAATGCACTGGGACAATGTAATATGGGAGTGGGCAGGGTGGGTTTCAGGAGCTGGGAGGCAGGTTTGAGTCAGGGGAGGGAGGAGCAACAGGGCAATTGAAGAGGTGGGAAATGGGCAGAGGTGATCAGGAGTATGTGGTAGCTGTGGGCAGGGTGGAGCCAGGGAGTGAGGGCAGGTGGTGTGGGTCAGTTAATGTGACAGAGTTGAGGACATAGAGGAATGGGGGTGGGGAAGGCAGATGGAAGCTGTGGAGGAAGGATTGTACCAGCTGAGGTTAGGAATAGGAGATGGGGAAGCAGCTGGGAGTTGGGTGAGTGCAGTAGTTTAGGGCGGGTAATCAGATGTTGTTCTCACCTTGCTCTTAACACAGTACATACACTGAAAAGGGTCCAAGTATATCCTCTTCTTGGGGTTTCCTTTGTACTAACTTACATAGCAGCAAACAACTTCCTGCCAGAGCTTGGCTTCTCAAAGGGTTGGTCTATGCAGGGCTCCTCTCTTCTTCCTTCTAGTTCCCTCTCCCTTGAGAGAGCTCCTGTATAAACCTGGGTTGGAGCACAAAGTGCCCACCTGGTCTGGCAGCCAGCGTGAATCAGCAGGTGAGCCCTTCATCACTAGCTACACAAGATCCTATAGGCTGACACCTTATTAAGGCCTAGAAGAAAGGGACTGAAGGGAGAAGCAGCTGGGAAACTGAAGGCTGCAATGCATCCCTTTGTTTACATAATGGTTACAAACACAGCTTTACAGCCATAAGTCATGGTGAAGGAGTTAGTTCAAGCTATTTGCCAACCTTAAACAGTATTCACAAAACAGAAGAAAGACTCCAGGACTTCTGAAATCTATCACTTTAGAAATATGGTAATGTACATGTGAAACAGACCCGTGATCAGTCAAGGCTGGTCACCTGTCTGGTAGGGGTCTGTACCAAATGCCTGTGATGCACTTTGAAACATTACAGTCTTCTTGCTTTTTGTTATAACGTAGTGCAGCAGTTTACCAAAGCTGCCTCCTGAGAACAGGGTTGCAAAACAGCATTGTATAGCTTAAGATCAAACTTAGCTGAGTGTCAGTCTGGCAAAGACATGCTAGGTTTCTCTCTCTTCAATGAACTAAAATATGCATGGAAAAGGTACTTACTGGCAAGCCATCTTTACCAGGAATGCCCTAAAAGAAAACACCCATTTTAGAAAGGTACATAGAACATGTATAAAGTAGAAGAAGGGGGATAAAAACAAGTAACTGCATCTTAATGGCCAGCATTTCATGCTGTGACAAAATATCAAAACAGAATTGGGATCTGTATTGTGTTACCACGTGCACTATTTTGTATACGTATTTAATTGGGGGCATGTATTTGTGATCAAGGAGAGCGTGAAGTATAACACACTCTGTGTATCCAGAAGCTGCAGCCTACAGGGGATACATAAACCATGCTTCTTGGGAGCTACACAACCTGTCCATCCAACATTTCTCAAAATGCAAGTGCCATCCTTGAGGAGCTTGGCTGATGCCTCAGCAGTTGTGCTGTTTTACACCTTTTGGGCTGGAATCGCCATGGTCAGGCACCTTGTAGAACCATTGACACATGTTCAAAGGACTACCATTTTGATGTGGTATGATTAGACACCCACTTTGACTACACAGGGTGCAAGGCAGTAGAGAATCAGCCCTTCACCCGTGTGTGATAAATTAATATTGGTCTCTCTAGATGATTTGTGTGGCTTCAACAGAGATGCAGTACTCACAGGTTCACCGTCTCGCCCAGGTTTTCCTAGGGGCCCAGGGGGTCCTTGAATCCCTGTCTGCATTTCTTCTAGTTCTGACTTTCCTGGTGGTCCTGGTGGCCCTCGTGGCCCTTGCTCTCCTTTTTCGCCTCTCTCACCTTTTTGACCCTAAGAATGTAAAATATACAATAATAGGTTTTATTATTTTCTTTCTGTTATTTTAACATATTGCCATTGTATCTACAGGCCTCACACCAGTTTGGGGCCCCATTGTGCTAGGCATTGTACAAACATATATTACAACCAACTCAGGGTATTAAACCTTGTTCTGACTAATCAAGATGAATTGATCATTCAACTAAAATGGGATGATTGCCTGGGTACAAGTGGTCATGACCTAATTTCACCAGTTATGTGCAGACAGAATATAGTCCCCAACCAGCAACATATACACTTGGTGCTTTAAAAAAGCCAGTTTCCCACACAAAACTGAGTGGGAGGAGAATTTAAACATAAAAATGTTAATAATAATGGGCAGTTATTTAAGAATGCTTTGTTAGGCACCCCAAAAAAATCCAACACCCTTGCCTCACCCCACACACAGTTCAGCGGTCATAAAATAAGGATTCTTTGGTTAAAAAAAAAAAATCAACCAGGGAAGTGAAGTGAAGTGAAAGCAGTCATTACCACATATATGGAAAAAAGTAGGAAGCTGATAGTAATGAGTACAAATCAGCAGTTAATAAATACAGACAATTGATAAGGGAGCCTAAAGGCATCAATGACCAGCGGGGTAAAGGACAATATCAAAGAACATCCCAAGCAGTGGGTCTAGCTTCTATTTAAAAAAAAAGTCATAGGCATGCTCTATCTCCCTCTTAAAGGTGGAATAAGAGTTTTATTTGTCCTCCCCTAAGCTGGGAGGACATGTACCAAAACAAAACAAACAAAGGCAGAATTCAGTTCCCTAGCTGGGGTTTTCTAGCCCACAATCTTCCAAGGTTTTAGCCCCACCATCCAGAAGCAGGAAGTCAATAGCTTCCAATATTTGAATTGCCCCCTTTCACGGACAGGAGAACTATTATCTGGCCCCTCTCTGTTCCTGATTGGCTCTAGACTCTGCTTTCATTAGAGGTCAGGTGAGGCTTAAACCAGGACAATTAGTCCCTGTCTTTCCGGCCAATTGGTGGTTAAGGCAATCCAACTGATTCCCAGGTGTCAGGAATCTTTGATGCCCTTTTGATTCCCAAAAGAGAGCCAGAATGGAATTCAAACAAACAAAAACACACACACACAAACCAAATGCTGCAGCTCACACAGAAAAATAAAATGTCCCCCACAAGACAAGATGATCTTTCATATTCCATTTGTATCACTCCCCTAGTCACACCACACACAAAACAATGAGTTGTATAAAATATAGAATCCTCTCCTAAAGTATATACCCCACAGAGCACCAGAACACCCTCTCTCAGAAAATAAAAACTAGTTCTTTACACATATCAGAAACAAACTAAATCCTACCAATGGTATTGGTCCAAAATCAGATGAATGGTAAAACTGTCAATCATGCAATAGACAAGGCAGAAGTATTCAATAATTATTTTTGTTCTGTATTTGGAAAAAAGCAGGATGATGTAAGCATATCTTTCTGTTCTCTCAGTAACTAGGGAGGATGTTAAACAACAACTAGTTAAAATTTTAAAAATCTATAAGACCAGATAAGTCGTGTCAAAGAGTATTAAAAGAATTGGCCAAGCAACTCTCTGAACCATTAGCACTGATTTTTAACAGATCTTGGAAGACTAAGGATGTACCACAGGACTAGAAAAGAGCTAATGCCATGCCAATATTTTAAAAGGGTAAATGGGAAGACTCAGGAAACTACAGACAGATTAGCCTGACATAACTCCTGGACAAAATCATGGAAATGCTGATAGGGGATGTAATCAGTAAAGGATTAAAAGATGGTAGCATAATTAATACCAATCAACATGATTTTATGGAAAATAAATCCTCTTGGACAAACTTTACTTTGTTTTTGAATGAGATTACAAGTTTGTTGGTAACTGTAAGTGCATTGACATAAGCTACTTAGATTTCTGTAAGGCTTTTGACTTAGTCCCACATGACCTTCATAAAACCCAATGTAGCCCACATTAAATCAATTAAAAACTGTTTAACTGATAGACTGCAAAACATAATTGTAAATATGGAATTGCCATCCAAGGAAGGCCCTTCTGGATCCTGCAGGGATCTGTTCTCAGCCCAGTGCTGTTCAATATCTTTCTCACTGCTCTAGAAGAAAATATATCTCACTACTAGTTACATTTGCAGGTAACACAAAAAATGGTGGAGTGGTAAATAACAGTGGAGACAGATCAGTTATACAGACTGACCTGGATGGCTTGGTAAGGTAGGCTTATTGGAACATCATGTGTTCTAAAACAGCCAAATTGAAGGTTATACATCTAGGAACTAAAAACGTAGGTCACTTTTATAGGATGAGGGAGTGTGTCCTGGCAAGGACTTAGGCAGGGATGGTATATAAAAGATGAACATGAGCTTCCAGTGTGATCCTGTAGCTAAAAGGGTGAACACAATCCTTGGATCTATAAGCAGGGGAATATCATTAGAAGTAGGGAGATGGCATTACCTTTGTATGCAGCATTAGTGAGACCATTACTGGAATCCTGGGTCCAGTTCTGGTGTTCACACATAAAAAAGGATGTTTAAAAATTGGAAAGAGTAAACAAAGGCTACAAGAATTACCTGCAGTCTGGCAAAGATGCATTACAGTGAGAGGCTTAAGAAGCTTCATCACATTTTTTCAAATCAAGAAAGGATATATATTTTTAAAAGATATTCTAGACATTATGGACTTGCTGCAGAGATTATGTGTGAGGTTCTATGGCTAGTGTTATGCAAGAGGTCAGACACAATTATCCCTTCTGGTTCTAAAGTCTATGAATTAGAAGTTGTATATACTGTTTGAGTCATAGGAAGTGAAAGTTTTGGAGGAATTATATTTGTAAATTCTTAAATAAATTCTAAATTTTATGTAAATCCATGTATCCGGCTTGCATTGCCTATCGTCAAGCTCCTCTTTCACCATTCATTATAATCGGTCACAACAAGCACTAGGACTGACATGAAGAGCATGTAAAAGCATAAAAGGCAATGGTTAAGGCTACGTTTATGTCATGGGAGTCATGGAAGTCACAGAATCCATGACCTCCAGAGACCTCTGTGACATTCTCTGCTTCAGCCCCAGGGAGGGCAGGACTCTGGAGCTGGCAGCCAGCGGGGCCCTGGCAGGGTTCCTGCAACAGGGGGCCCCCTGCAAGGTTCCAGCAACGGGCGACAGCCTCATGTGGGGGAAGGGGAATGCCTTGGGCAAGCGGCTGGGGGCGTCACAGAGAGGACACGGCATCTGAGAACTTTTGTTTATTGTCCGTGACCTGTGCGTGACTTTTACTAAAAATAACCATGACAAAATCTTAGCCTTAGCAATGGTAAATGTCCAATTGAAACACACAACTTCAAGATTAAACTTCCACTCTGCATGTTTTGCTGGCAGCTGAGATCAGCACTGATGTACTGCAATTTCAAATCATGACAGAGCAAAGTAAGAATGAAGCGGAGAACTTAAAGTTGGAGCTACAAAGATAAGTACAAGGAAAGGAACAATATTAATCTCATGGGTAAGGGTTTGGTGATTAATAAAGCTACTAAGGATATGTGAATATTTGGCAGTATGTTGAAGAGGACTTGCAGTTAACCAGCTACACGGGTCAACTAGAGGATGAAATATCCTTCTGATTCATGGCATTTTAGGCTAAGAGCACCAATTTGATTTCCAGGTTTACATGATATTTGAAGCAACATAATTGCATACAAATCAAGCAGGCACAAGGCCTTGTGTGAGCACAACAGCTGCCACAGTCCAAGACTGAGTGTAATATGTTCATTCCTCCCCATCATGAGGGATCAGCTCTGCCACACGTAGTCAAGGCCCTGTCTCCTTTGGGGAAGCTAGCATTGGCAGCGGTTTTAGGCTGGAGCAGTCCTTGTGTTCAGGGGATTGTCAGGGCTGTCATTGTTCCTGGCCTTACCTGAGCCACAAAGAGGTGAGAGGAAGGATCCTTGTACTCTATTCCCCCTTATCTTCCTCTGCGGGGTCCGGTGCAATCCAGCCCTGAAAGTTTCTGCCCAAAAAGGGATTCTTTTTGCCAGTTGTTATGACTGATTGATTGTGTGATTATTCCCAATGCTTTACAAGGGATTTACAGAGACAAGGTGGGTGAGGTAATATCTTTTATTGGACCAACTTATGTTGGTGAGAAAGAAGCTTTGAGTTTACACAGAGCTCTGCTTCAGGGCTGGGAAATTGTTGGGTCAATAAAAGATATTACCTCACCCACCTTGTCTCTATAATATCCTGGGACCAACAGAACTACAACACAGCATTCAAGGAATTTACAGATATTTCTGGTCCCCAATTTGCCATTAAATTTTCTAAAGCATCTCACTATAAACACTATAAGAGAGGCTCAAATTAAATGTATACTCCAAATTAAAAAACATAGTAAGAAGACCAAAAAAGTGCCACAATGGCTAAACAACAAAGTGAATGGAGTGGGGATAGAGGTAAAAAGGCATCATTTAAAAATTGGAAGTCAAATCCTACTGAGGAAAATAGAAAGGAGCATAAACGTTGGCAAGTCAAGTGTAAAAGTATAATTAGTCAGGTCAAAAAAGAATTTGAAGAGCAACTAGCAAAAGACTCAAAAACTAACAGCAAAAAAATGTGTAAGTACATGGAAAGCAAGAAGCCTGCCAAACAATCACGGATGAACAAAGTGCTAAAGGAGCACTCAAGGACGATAAGGCCGTTGCAGAGAAGTTAAATGAATTCTTTGCATTGGTCTTCACTGAAGAGGATGAAGAAGATTCCTACACCTGACCCATTCTTTTTAGGTGACAAATCTGAGGAACTGTCCCAGACTGAGGTGTCAGTAGAGGAGGTTTCAGAACAAATTGATAAATTAAACAGTAATAAGTTACCAGGATCAGATGGTATTAATCAAAGAGTTCTGAACAAACTCAGATATGAAATTGCAGAGCTCCTAACTGTGCTATGTAACTTATTGTTTAAATCAGCCTCT